TCTTGCTATCAAGAAGGCCTACTTGATGTTCAGTCTAAATACCCCAATATGCCACCCATCAGTGGAATAAGGTTATGGAACAGCCGTCCAGTAGCGGGAGTGGAGGTTAACAACCTGAATGGTTTTAAGATGGAGCTTGATACATTTATTAATGGGATTATATGACACAGTTGCCTGAGATAGTACCAGGAGGTCCCTTCCAGTCCTATATTCCTCAATACTCTTGTATTGCATTATAGCCACCTCTAACCAATTCTCTTCCTTCTCCTACACTTGTAGGTGGTTTCCGTAGACCTCTTTAGTTGTTGCTTAGCCAAGCTGCACATACTTGGTTGCTCTTTTAAAGATGTTCTCACCATAGGTGAGTTCCTGCAGCCCTCGCCTGACCTAAGAGGGAGTCTGAAGGGAATTCCTGAAGCTGCAGGCAACATACTTATGTGCTATGAATTAGGGACCCCACCTCTGCTAGCCCCGATGATGGGATTGGTGTGGTTATACCCAGGGTGTTTTACTTTATATATAAGAGACAGACAGACGGACAGACAATGTGTGTGTTGAAAGTGAATAATTGAAACCCAGTCAATAATACATGCAGTCCCAGCTACCTCTTGTACTATAAGCCATAACAAAGCAGATTGAAATACTTAAATAATTAGGAACCACAGGTTCACATCTCAGCAGTAGATAAACTGAGAGCCATGCAGGTGAATTTTCTTTTGTTACTCGGATGAGACCTAGATAACAGTTTGTCTGCGCTGTACACGGACATGGAAAAATCCCATTAACTCATGGTCCTGTCAGAGTAGGATTGTTCCAGATAATATATTAGAATTCCCTCCATTGCTTTGTCCCGTACATTTTTCACTGGTTTAACCTGTGAAAGCACCATTGCTTATCTTGGAGGAAACTATTCCAATCTCAATAGACCTTAGTTGGATTTTTTTTTTCCTGGTATGCAACCTCGTTTTTCTTTTAGCAGCTTCATCCCTTGGCTTTAGCTAAACAATCCCTCTCACTGCTTAGTTCTTACACCTGGCGATACTTGTAGACTATCACCACATATGAGCCCCTCTAGTCATCATTTGGCCAAACTAAGCTTTTTTTTAGTTGCTCCTTGTGCATTAGTCACTTCACCCTCTGTTGTTGTTGCTCTTCCATGAATTTCTTCTGCTTCATCAATGAGATTGAGTTGCCCAGGCATTCACATGGTATTCGTTTCACCAGGACTTACTTGATGTGCTCTTTGTATCTGTAACTTTACAATGTTATTAATACTATTTGTAGCGCTATTATTTTATTTATTATCTATTTGTATTATAGTAGAAACTAGACCCTCCAATTTTGATCAGGGCCCAGTTGTGCCAGGTACCATACATGAACAGAGTAAGAAATATTCCTTGCCTTGAAGAGTTTACAAGAGTAGGCAAGACAGATAGATGGTGGGAGAAAGATGGGGAACTGAAACAAAGAGAGATTAAATGACACAGAAAATTTACAGCAAAACTGAAAATTGAACCAACATGTCCCAAGTCTGTTTAGTGCCTTAACCACAAGACCATCCTCTTCTTTGTCTCGCTCTGATCTTGTTTGTCCGGATCCAGCCAAGAAAGGCAAATATTGTTTTGGTATCAATCCAAAAGCCAGTCCACCCTAAAAATGACACTCCCAACACTGACACCCCTTCTACTGATCATAAAATCATTTAAATAAAACAAAACCTCCAAACCCTACCCCAAGCAGAGTTCTGATCCTGTAAAGGGAGAAGTTCCAGACACTCCATAATATCCACTAAAGTCTTCACTATTTCTCGGGATTTTACATGAAGGGTGCATTAGGTACTGTGGTGAGGGGTGTCATTAGAAAACTTAAGGTAGATAAATGGATTTCTATGTATCTATGAGGTTGCCCATCACCGTGATATCTGCGTGCCAGTCTAAATGCTGATCCTGGTCACTATAGTTATGGTATCATTGTCATCCCTATATTTTTCTGCATGACGGTTTTCCAGATGTCCCTCATTCCATCATATTGGTTTATCATTTTTGAAATAGAGATACTCAATATATATTTCCAAGAAGGGGAATGAAAACACCCATTTCTCTTATAAATGGAGTGTGCATTATGGAAATGTTTGAGTTGAATGGCTTCCGGCGATTAATTTAAGCGTGTGCTGCTCTATTGTTTTCCTTCCTACCATGGGTTCCCTATGGAAAAAAGTGAGCAGAGATCAGTTCTAGCCATTAACCGGGGTTTCAAACAGGAGGCCTTTACAAAGAGTGACTGCTGTGCAGTTTTTCTGCTTGCCTTGTTGTAGACTCCTACCGCATATTAAAAAAAAAAAAGTCAAAGGCAGGGGAAAAAATACACAATAAAATAAAGCTGGAAAATAGTCATGTGTAGAGATGTGCAAATAGATTTTTTTTTTTTGGCTCACTGGCTGTATCAAAAAATATTGTTTCAGGTCACCGAACAAAATATTTCGTTTAACCCAAAACAAAATGTTTCATTTAGCTTTAGCGCTTTAACCTTTAAAAATAAATAAATAAAACTGAAGAAAATTTTGGGAAAAAAATCATTTTGAATTAAAAAAAAAAAAGGTTCATTCTGAAAAAGTCAAAATGAAACATGTCAATTGTTCTGGAAAAATGTTTATAGATTTTTCGAATCAAAACAACTTGATGAATTTTACACCAATTTGTGTATTTCTGTCAACACGGGGTTTGCATTTTCAGTGAAAAACAGTTTTACCCGAAAAAGTTCAGCCCTGCTCTAGGCGAGTGTGTGTGTATATGTGTGTGTGTGTGTGTGTGTGTGTGTAAGACATGGCAAGAGGATTGGTTTCAAAATGTGGTTGAAGGAATTCTGACAAATCATGTTTGTTTTTTAAAGCCAGATAATGGGGGTGTCTTAGGTTCACCGGGGGACTGTTCTGTTTTCTTAAGTGCTGTGTAAAGCTGATTGGTTTGGAATACTGGAGAGCAGGGTGAACGGATGGTTTAGAGTTGAATTGGGGGATAGGCAGCCCTTGACTCTAGATTGCTCTTAACTCTACATCAGCCAGGGGGAATTTTGCATGGATGGACGCTGGCAATGCCATGAATTCTTATTGAATTTAACATGTGCAAGCTTCCACCCATGTGGATTCAGTTGGAGAATCGGGGCCCTGGGTCATGAGAAACTGAAAGTTGTCCTTGTCTAATGCCTAGGTGACTAGATTTGGAAGTCTCAATCCAGTTTGTGATGGGCAGGTTTCCATGGCTCACTTGCACAAAAACCTAGCCACTTTGTTGGCCTTCTCTACAGAGAGGCCGGGGAATGGAGAACACACACACTGCTAACATAGGGCTGTAGGGAAATTTTCCACTGTCTGTGAGAAACATGGTGTGGCACTACATAGAGGACTCCAGCCTCTAGCAGTGTTGGTTCATCATCTCTTTAAAGTAATTACAATAATAGAGTCCTGATGGCCATTATTTTAACACAGAGCATCCATCCATCCATCCATCCATCATGTAACTAGCATATTTCTAATGCATGCATTACCATGGTAACTAAATGCCATGCAGGTCAGTAAGTCATCAGCAGCTCTTCAATCTTCTCCCACACTTTCCTCCCAATATCCCTCATGTCTTGCAGTAAGAGGGTAGAGATCCGTCTCCATACCCCTCTCTGGGCTTCTCTGCCAAGGCTGCCCACAGGAGAACCAATTACCAGCTAACAATCTGAAATCCAATCTGAGCCATTGCCTCTGCCTGGCTCCCATGTACACAGGCTCCTTTTAATGGAGTGACTCTTATTTTCCACCTCCTCACCGCTAAATGTCAGGATGGACTTTCTGTCCTCCTTGGCTGAGGTCTTATCTCTCTCTCATTATTTGATAAAACACCAGGAAGACAGTGGAGAAGTAATTAAATTCAGTACCTGAGCAGAGAGCGAGGTGAAGGCGGGAGGGAAGAGAGGGAGGAGGGTGAGTATGGAGAGTTTTTTGTGAATCATTTTTCCTCCTCCATTTAGTTGAGGCCTGGACTGAGATGACTAATGTAGGAAGACAGGGTTTTTGTTTTTTTTTTAAATGAAAGGCTCTCGGCTTCCTGAATGCTGATATTTTGCCAGCAAGCTGCAGTCAAGGTTGAAATTGGAAGGAATATTGAACAGCCCTCGATTGGAGAGTTATTTCATATTTATCTTTGTCATTCATTTATTTATCTTGTTGCTTGCAACCCGTTTCCCTCCCCATCTTCCTTTTATTTCTCCTTTTACTAGACTTAGCCCACACTTTTTTCTGCATTCTTTTCTTTTGTAACAATAACTGTTTTCCTCCTCACAACATGTATGATTCTGGTATTCATTTTTTAATTCTTTCCTTTTTTCTCCCCTCATGTATATCGTTTTTGTGTTATCTTCGATCCCTCTGTTAGATTTTCCCTTTCCCCCCCTCTTTTTTTGGTCATGTTAGTGAATGGTATGCCAAACTGAGGGCCCAGGGAAATTGTGTCTTCCATATATCTCCAGAGAACTAGGGCCAGATTCCCAGCTGCTGTCAATTGACATAGCTGGTGATGACTTCACTGGATCTAAGAGTCTAGCCCGTTGATTCAGCTCAAGAAGTGAAAGTTCCCCAGTACGTCCATCAGGGGACTCAGTCCAGTCCTTGGGTAGTTCAGTGTTCATGCCCCTTCAGTCCCTGGCCTTGTACCAGTTGTTACATTCAGTCCCTTTACTTATTTTTGGAGGTGTTTAGCTTTTATCATTTACATTGTTTCAGTAGTTGCCTTTGTTCCAAATTATTGGTAGCACAATAGTGTCCATGCCCCCTCCCCCATTCAAGGATCAGGACCCTGTTGTACTAGGAGCTGTATGCACCAGTAACAAGAGGTTGGCTCTTGACTTTCACAGCTCACAATCTAGGTATTGTAACCTCTGTTCCAGGCCTGTTCCTCTTTCCGGCAACTCTCCTTCTTATTTCTCATTATTATAATCCTCATACTGTTTCGTTGCAGAGACCTGAGCTGTGTCTTGAAGACAGCGACACTGGGATCGGCAGATGGTGTGTGCTTGAGCCACAAGAACAGCTCTAAGTTGCTACAGATTGGCTACATATCGATTAGGAGAAGATGGCCATCTCCTTGAAGATCTGCTTCTTCACTCTTGTGCTCCTTCCTCTGGTATGGAATCCCAGGAACAATGGGTGCATGTCTCTATCATGGCGTACTGCGGGTGCATGTTTTTTAAATGCATGGGGTTGTCAGCCCACACTAGGAGAAGGGCCTGTTACTGACAATGGTTGATGGTGCTCCAGCTTCCCCCTTAGCTGCTATTAAACCACTTTCAGCGTCTAGGGCAGATGGGGGTAGAATGATGCTCACCGCCCTTTTTGTAAATGAGAAGAAGGCAGGGTCATAAAGGAACATGGTCAGGGTTAAAACAGCAGTCAAGATTGTGACGAGCCACTCATGTTTTTGGAGGCCTCCATTTTTGGATGCTCAACTTGAGACAACCTAAAATGGGGCCTGCTTTTTAGAAAGTCCTGAGCACCCGCCCTTTTGAAAACCATGGCTTTAAGGTGTGTCAAGCTGGGCACCCAAAGGCACTAGTCACTTTTTAAAGACTCTTGAGCTGTATTCAAGAATTATAGGTATCACGAGATCTGTGGGTGAAAGATGCTCGGTAAGGATGTAGCTGTAGCAAATTACTTACAGCTACTGCCACACTGCTTCATGCATTTCAGTTCAGCTCCTTACTAGAGTAGTGACTTCTTAGGACTTCTCAGAAACAGGACCGGCTCCAGGGTTTTTGCCGCCCCAAGCGGCGAAAAAAAGAAAAAAGCCGCGATCGCGATCGGCGGCAGCTCCACCGTGCCGCTTTCTTCTTCGGCGGCAATTTGGCGGAAGGTCCTTCCCTCCGAGAGGGACGGGGACCCTCCGCCGAATTGCCGCCGAAGAGCCCGACGTGCCGCCCCTTCCCCTTGGCCGCCCCAAGCATCTGCTTGCTCAGCTGGTGCCTGGAGCCGGCCCTGCTCGGAAAACATTACATAGAGCGAGTCCATGGGATATATTGTGTTTAAACCCTGAATCCCAGCCTTATTAATAGCTCCCAGTAACTTTTGAATACAGAATGCTACACAGTTGCTTAGATATTTACATTTTAATGCATCCAGACAAGCTGAGCATTTTAAAAGGCTACTTAAAATCAGATTATGTAATGTAGTCAAGGAGTTTGACTATCTTTTGTATAGACATTTTGCTGCTATACGATGGATTTACAACATCTGTATCACAAGGTACAGCACGCAGCATACCATTGATACTCCTTTATTTAAAAGAATGTACATTCTTTTGCCTCGGGTCTTCTTCAGAGATTATTTTCACACTCCAAATGCAGAGTTTATCAGCTGGATTCTTCGGATTGGAATGAAAACTGTAGTATGCTTCAAAAATTTGGCATAGTCAGCAAACACAAACGTTTGCTCTGTGAATGCTTCTAGCTAGAAGCACTCAGCCCTCTTGATTGTTGGCTAGTTCGTCTGGTCAGATAGGAAGTCTTCCTTATAGACAAAACACTACAGGTTTGAGATGCAGATGTGACAGCAGCCATGTCCTCTTGGCTGATAAACTGACCTCTGGCAGTAGAGCCTGATGGGAATGCTCAGTGCTTCCCCTCTAGCTCGGAATTTTCTGCTCTCATTAGCTCAGCTCCGAGGTTAATGTTGTGTGAGATATGTAGAGTTGTCTGCCTTTAATGGTGGTTTCTATGCTGGCTTCAAGCAGATACTGAGCCTGTTTATTATTATCTACCAGCTCCTCTTTTCTGGATTCTCCTGTTCACTTCTAGCTGTGCTTCCTACCTTTGTCTCTGCACAGATTTCAACAAAGCTCTTCCTCTTTTTCACGGCTGCTCTCTGGCCTTAAAGACAAAATGCTCTGTTCTAAAAGCATATGGATTATATGTGCAACATTATTATTATTATTATATCCTATATAGTATTGTATTTGGGCAGGGGGAGGAATTCCTTACCTGAATTCCTAATATCAGCTTGGTTGCTACCCTTAGACAAAGGGAGTTGTTGGCAGCACAAGTTATTTTCTCACATAAGCAGTAAGATAGAGGTAACTAGTAATATAAGATGTTAACAAAAATAGAGATGGGCCATGGTCCCTCTGGGATCCAGAATTCAGCTTCTTCTCCTTGTGTGTTAGTGTCCGTGGGAGTTCGTATCTGGGTTTAAATTCAGACTGTTGGAGGCGGGCGTCATTTGGCCAATCCCGGTTTCTGGTTTGGGAAACAGGAAAGCCATGCCAATGGCATCCATCAAATATTGAAACAACACATTTCACTTTCTGTTCCAATGTAAATTAACTTGGATGCTCCAAAGTCCAACTGGCTGGTATAGACAGTAGATGAAACAAGATAGCACACTAGAAGAACATCAGATTATGGGGACATGGAAAGGATATTGTGAATGTACGAGACTATCAAAAAGTGCAGAAAACAGTGAAAAAGAAAGCTACACGGCTCTAGAAACCCACCACTCTCTCCTCCCATGCTGTATCATGGGCATTGGACTGGATATGAACCACAATTCTAAAGATGAAAGAATCTATATTCAACTGCAAAGCTCCAGGGCAAGGCAAGTTTCACTTTGATTCCTTGTTAGTGTGGGTACAGGACTCAAGTAGGCTCTAAAAGGTTCAAAAGAGTGATTAAATGGTGAGCATGCTGTTGTCTCTTAATGTTCTCTTACACCTTACCTCTCTTTCCATAAGAAACTAGGGTCAATTCCCATTGACTTCAGCGGAGGTCAGGATTTATGCCCAGGTTCTCAAAAACTGAGCATTAGTCACTTTTTGAACCTGTGGTCGTATTTTTTAAATAATAAATGTTTAAGGGCTTTTCTACACCAGTGTTTTTCAACCTTTTTTTCAAAATTTCAAACAGAGGCACGGACCCCTTTGGATATCTTAGGCATAGTCTGTGGATCCCAGAGGTCTGCAGACCTCAAGTTGAAAACTGCAGTTCTATGGTAACAACAACCTTTTGCAGACCCCTTAGACATATTCTGTAGACCCCCAGGGGTCCGCAGACCCCAGGTTGAAAACCACTGGTCTACACGGTATGTTAGTGCTCACTAGCTGGGGTGTAAATTTGGGAGCACACCAGCGGGTCATGCACTAACTGGCCCAGGTGGACCCTGCTGGCATGCGAGATAGTCCCATTTCAAACAGCACTACGTTAGCACGTGCCAGCAGGGTCCACCTGGCCAGGTAGTATGCAACATCCCAGGTGGCGTGCACTAATGCATCATGTCACTTGAATGAAAAGAAAATGGCCTCCCTTTCCTGTGTATTTTCTTGAGTGTGGAAATCAGCATGGTAACTTTAAAAAAAAAAAAAATTAACAGCAAGAAGAATGGAATGAGGTCCAATACATGCTATTACAATACCACTGTGGAACACTGAACCGTTAACTTAATGACTTTGAAGGAAAAAAAAAAAAAAAAATCCCCAACTAGGGGTAGTGTCTGTAACCAGTAAAAGAGTTTCACATATTCGAAAGTAAAGAGAGAAACTCCCCGGCTTGAGATTCAGCCCAGCACTGTGACCCCTGGTGTGGGGCTCTGTCCTGCCTAAAGGCATTTTGGGTGAAATCTTGGCTCCATTGAAGGTCGATGGGAGTTCTGCTGTTCACTTCAGTGGGGGCAGGATTTCACACACAGCACTGGAATTGCTCTCCTGGCCAGACACTCACCAGGCTGCTGTTTGGTCCCAATGCACTAGACCTGTGTGCTCTCAAGCATTCCTTCGACACAGCAGGCAGCAGCCCTGTATTTCCCTTTGGCCTTCATGGCATGCATCCTTGGTACAGATGGGGCTCCACAGCTCAGCTGCCCCATGCCCCTAGGACCAGTGCTGAAGCCCCAAGATATGCCAGTCATTTTTCCAGAGCTCGAATCTTGTGGGAACTCTGGGTTTGCAGTTCCCCTTTCTGGGACACGTGATAGTGGAAAAAGCACAAACAAACAAGGTTTGTAAGGGGTTCCAAATGCAATTACTTTTTACTTCGATATCCTGAGAAATACACATTCTAGGCAAAACAATGAAACTACCAATACGCATTTCCCAGCTTCAGCTTTTTGCGCATTCCTGGGTGCTCTCTGGGTTTAGCTCAGAGTCCTCTGGAGTGTCCTGGATCCTTTCTCTCCTCTTGCACATGCCTTCCTCTCCAGATCATGGAGTCTCTCTCTCTCTCTCAAATATTCAGTGAAAGACCATCTCTTTGTCAGGTAACCCCCACTCAGCCGTATCTGGTTATCAAAGCCCCTCCCCAGGTGATCCATTGCTTACATACCTCCCAACTTGAATTCAGATTTGGTGGTTTGACTTATGTGGCAGTTCTCTCTTTTTGTCCTAGGGTGCTCCCTTTAAAAAGGGCAATCATCAATATTTAACAACCCTCTGTGGTTAGCCCTTTGCCACCAGTCGAGATGTTAGGCCAAGGCAGAGGTTAAAAGACATCAGGACCAGCCTTACAATCAAAATGGCGTTGCCAGTCTGACAGAGAGAGAGAGAGAGTCCCTAAAATCAGACAAAATCCAGAAGCTGTACGTAGACAGTGCTCTAACCAGGGGTGGCTCTGTTTTTCGCCGCCCCAAGCAGTCAGGCAGCGGATTCGGTGGCGTTTCTGTGGGTGATCTGCCGGTCCGAAACCGCGGGACCGGCAGATGTCCTGCAGGCATGCCGCCGAAGGCTGCCTGACTGGCGCCTTCGCGGCGACCGGCATGCCGCCGCCCCCGCGGCTTGCCGCCCCAGGCATGCGCTTGCTGCACTGGTGCCTGGAGCCGTTCCTGGCTCTAACCCCCGTCTCATCCAACAGGCAGCTGATGAATTGAAGAGATACAGGAGGTGTTCAAGATGGCAGGACAAGATGGCAAACAAACAGCCTCTTGCACTTGTGCTAGTGAGGCTGGGAGAGGGAACTGAGAGGAGGCTGATGCTAGATAAGATGAGGAATTGGGAAGGACGAGCTCAATGAGATTTGTAGACTCAGATTTTCAAGGCATAATGAAGGGATCATTATGATCATCTAATCCAACCTCCTTCACAACATAGGTCATATAACAGCAGTTCCCAAACTTTTTGTAAGCATGACCCCATTTTAATTAATTATT